CATGCAACCAGCCGAGAAACGGGTAGCAAGTTGTTAACCTGTGAGCAACGGGGCCAGCTTGGCATTTTGATGTGGTGATAGCCGAATGGGCGAAATGTAGGCCATGCAGTCTGATGCAAGTGCGTCGGGTTGATACACCTGATGATTGCTTATTGAATGTGATAATCAGCTGCGCCTGTAGTCCCTATTGCTGCTGTTGAAGCTACAACCCTTCTTTATATATAATGACTTATACTGATTAATGATGGTAATCGCGTGTGTCGTGCTCTGCGGTTCTTTGCTAAACCGAACTGATAATTCTCCATCCTGAGGTTCGATAATGCAAAAATTAACCTTAGGAACTATGAGTCATTTTGATGAGAAGGCTAAGTTTGGGTTAAAGGTTAGATGGGGACTAACTGCACAGTTGTTGTCCGTCCTGTGAATGGAGGCGTAATTGCACAATTATTCATTCGCACAAGTAAATTCGAATAGACCCAGAAACAAGTTTTCTTTTACTAGTTTTTTCATGGGTTGTCGACTGACTACAAGTGGCTCGAGCGATATCCAGCCGTTATCTGTGAACTTACAGAACGTTGCGGTTGAGATAGAGTTACTCGGTTAATTTTGTGTGGCTGTGTTTTGTGCAAGTGCAGCCATCTGTTCCGTTGTTGTTCCCTAACTTGGAATATGGCATGTACGTTTGTTTGCAGGACGTCTTCGATTTGTGCTGTCAGCTGCATTCGCAGCTTTTTCAAACTTCTGCTATAAGGTACCGGCCACCGCGTCTTAGAAGAACAATTCTTCTCTGAAAGCAGACCTGTTTCTCCATTTTTTCCGCAGGTTGCCTGCTGACCTCCTGGTAGCTCTCTGTGGGGTTTCGGCTAACTATGAGAAGCTCATCGGCTGGAGTAAATGGATTATGATCAACGAATTTTTTAGCGAAACATTGATCTCTACGTCTACTGACGTCACCTGTTCCAGGAAGATCAAGTGTCTTGGTCGGTACTCTGCTATTACGAAAATGAAACATTTCCTTCTTTGAACATTTGTGACCTTAACGCTGTACATTAACGGTGAAATTTAGCATTTATGATAATGCCGACGGTCTTGCTATCTTCTACAATGATCTTTCTCTTGATAACACTACATTTTTCAGAGCTGGTAACGGGTACCGCTCCAGATTGGGTAAAAAGCAACACAAGTAAGTGGAAAGTGGCAACATTAGCAGTGCTGAAGTCTCAAAGATGCATATCTTTAATTTTCAGACATACGGTTCAGCTATACCATTGAAATGCGGCCACTCGAGGATGACAAAGACGGTTTCGTCCTGGATCCATCAGAGATTCTTCCAGCAGGAGAAGAGGTATGCATCTGTCCCCCGACTGAGTTAAATGCATAATTAAATATTTTGTCAGTCATCTGTTAAGCCATTAGGTCATAAAAGTTGGAAAGCTGTGGCGTTTGAGGTAACTGCTAGAAAAAGCCAACTTGTTTCGACAACTGTATCATTATAAATAACGCAATCATTCCTTTGTCCCTGCATCAAAAATATACTCGTATACTAAAAGGCTTCGTTTCAACAAACTTAGTAGTCGTTTTTTGATATGTAACTTTTCATTTTAGTTATCACTGGTAGATAGCACCTTGTAATAAATAAACTGTTCACCTACATGAACCTGTTGACTTTCAGTGCATACAAAAACAGGTATTAAACGAGAAATATAAATGAAGTCAGGGGTTAATTTGCGTAACTATAGTTTTATGCCAAAGTCGTTAGCACTTTCTCTTACGGCTGCATCTCTAAATGCACTGAAAAAGAAAGATACCATGGAATGGCCTGGAAAGACGTTAAAATTGCACTCCAAATACTAAGAAGCTGTTAACAATGATCAGCTCAATTGGTGACTGGAGTCTTTTGAGGTTTTCTGATGGCATTCGACAATGGTCCATAGTTTGCAGTCCGGTCAACAGGCCGATTTCCGTTGATTTTACGAACGAACTTGGACCGATAGCATAGCTCGCCAACATATTTTTTACTCTGCCTCGACTGTTAAGGATAAACAGTCAAATTGGCACAGAATTTTGGATGCTGACGCTTGCAAAGGAAAGAATCCTGTCTTGTCGAATTGGAGAGCGGAACTTTCTCTGTACTCAAAAAAATCAACTAGATGCCATTCGCACCTTGTGATCTTAAGTTTATTTGCTTCAACCGATCTAAGCCACTGCTTTTACATTTGCGTATTCCAATGAAAACCTGGGAAGGAGAAAAAGAGGAAATGCTTACAGACCTAGCTTCATCGCAGTTAACACCGTTTCTGTGAGTTTATCCTGAATCATCTTCAGACTTATTATCAGTCAAAACTTTTGTAACCCGTAATATTCATCTTTGTCTAGGTCAATATTACGAGTTTTGCGTGTTCGGAT